AGGAAGATCTTCTCAGTTACTTGCTATGTATCAGAGATCAGAGAGCTGGACAATGACTAAGGATGACAGAAGAAGAACCAGTGCCTTTGAGTTGTGGTGCTGGAGAAGAGTATTGACCTACCAAGAACAGGTCTGTCCCAGAGAGGGGAAAGTCAGATTGCTTCTTGGAGGCAAGGATTTTGAAACTGTCTCATATACTCTGGGCATGTTGCCAGAAGGGACTAGTCCCTAAATAAGGACAGTATGCTTGGGAGAGTGAAGGGACAATGCAGAAGGGGAAGACCCTGGTTGAAATGGACTGAGATAGTGACTGGGGTAAAGGGGGCAGGTGTGTCAGAGACAGTGAGATTGGCTCTGGATAGAGCAGGGTTCAGAGCTACTGTTCATGGCATTGCTGAGTCATAGTTGACTCAATGGCACATAACAACAATGACAGAAGCACTAATTCCCAACTCTGAATCTACAAAAGAAAACCTCTCTTTTAAACCACCCTAGGTCTACAGGAGCTCTGGTGCAGTAGTCCTGAGCAGGTTGCACTGCTAAGCAAAAGGCCTTGCATCTTCAGCAGCTGCAACCAACCAGCACTTCCTGGGGAGAAAGACGAATAGTCCCTCCTGTTGTGATTTACAGCCCCAAAAATCCAAAGGAGGGTCACTGTGAGTCAGAATCAATCCAATGAAAGTGAATTTGATTCAAGTTTGGAGGCTTGTGATTGGGCAAATGCTTATTTAGAGAAAAGTAAGACTACCCTCACCCCCCACTAATGGTTGTTGTTGTTATTAGGGGTTGTAAAGTTGATTATGGCTCATAGTAACCCTGTGAGCATCACATCAGAACCTTTCTCAATCCACTGTACCATCCTCATAATCTCTGATTAGCATGAGTCCGTTGTTAGAGTCATTTTGTCAATCCATCTTGTTGGGGGACTTCTTCTCTCTCTCTGATCCTCCACCTTTCCCAAAACAATGTACTATTCAAAAGATTGACCCCTAGTGACAACACTCTCAAAGTAAGTGACGCAGTGTTTCCCCACCCTTGGCTCTAAGGAACACCCCTGCCTGCACTTCCTCCCATAGAGCTCATTTGTTCTTTTGACAGTCTTTTAGACATTCAGTGCTAACCCCTACTACTAGATGGTTCATAAAAGAACTTTTAATTTTATTAGTTAGAAAAAATGCTCATCAGATCTAAACTTCGTGAATAGCCTGGCATCACTTCATTTTCATACTGAGTGAAGAACTTTGTGTGCCACATATAACAATTTGAGTATCATTGGAAGGTACTGGGGCCCCATTAAAGAGAAGGAAGAAAAGAAGAAACTGGGTTCTTCTTGAATCAATGGCTATGGAAAGAAAAAAAAGACATAATTTCAGGAGCCAGAATGGGACAGAAACAGTAACTGGAACTTAGTCTAGAACTGAGAATTAATACAGCATAATTCTAAGAATGTTCTATTTTTATTTTTTTTTTCAGGGCAACTTTTTATTGTGAATTGTGGGAAGGTTTACAGATTTGTTTTCCATACAATAATTCATACATTTTGGGTGAAAGGTTATGTTACAAATTGGTTTTTCTTTTAAAAGACAACTTTTCACTGTGATTTGGAAGCTTATAGAGCAAAAGGGTTTAGATTCATGAGTGCACACACACGTTTCCTACGAGATTGAAATCCCCCTCAAAAGGGAACATCACTCATCCCATTTCCTCCAAGTTTCCCATTCCCAACTGTCTGGCCTTCACAACAAATGCTACCTTTTATATGTCAACTGGATTATTACTCTGAAAGTACCTCCGGGGGCCGGGGGGGGGAGGGGGTACTTATAAACCGCTATATTGTTGGGCTGACAATTGAACCATACATACGGGTTAGTCCAGTTTCAGGCCTGAAGGGAGGAGACTAAGGACCATGGTCTCGGGGGTTCTTTTTTCTATCTGCCAGCAAGCCTGGTCTCTTGGATGATTTTGAATTTTACCCCATGTTCTTTCTCTCACTCTGTACAGGAGCTCCTAATACAACCCATTCAGAAAGGTTAGTCTTAACTATGTACCATATAGTTAGTACTGGTCTTCAGGTCATGAGGATGAAATCTGTCCTTTGGACTCTTTGCTCCTGAAAAATGTTCTATCTTTTTTAATAAAGATTGGATAATATGCCTGATTTAGACACAGGTCTTTGAAATAATCACTTTTCTATTCTGACCAGTTTTCCTGTATGTTATCGTTCATTGTTAATTCACTTCACACATTGAGCCGATTAATATGTTCGGCAGTAATTTTTTAGCATATGGAGAAAACTACCTTCCTTAAGTATATTATTGTTTATAATATAAAGACTTTGCTAAACTGCAGTTTGATAAATACCTAAGGCATTTATTTGTGCTTACTGAATATCAATACCATTTTAAGTACTTTCAAGGTATTACCTTAATTAATCCTTAAACAGAGAATGTTATCAGGCACAGTTTTCAGATTAAGAGATTGAGGTTTAAAAAGGTTGAGGAACTTGCCTATGACCACTCAGTAGGAGGTATGGCTGACCTAGGACTAAAACCTCTGTCACTGAGTCGATGCTAACTCATAGAGACCATCCATCTGTCTCCCTCAGAGAACCTGATAGATTCAAACTAGTGGCTTTACAGTTCATAGCCTGACACAGTACATCTTACGCCATCAGGAAACTGGGGAAGAATTTGTTGCTGTTAGATTCTGTCAAGTCAGCTATAATTCATAGTAACCATATGCACAACAGAGCTCAGCCTTGTCCAATCCTGCATCATCCTCATAATCTCTGTCATCTAAACACTAATCACTGTGGTAGTCACTGTGTCAGTGCAAGATGAATTGACGTAGGATTAGACAGTCCAGTTCTGGAACGATCCGTTATGCCATTGTTATTACTGACAAGTAAGATTTATTTTACTATAACTAGTAGTACAAAGAAAGCAGTACGCTACTATTTCCAACTTTTTGATTGTTTAATTCACGATGTCTCAAAGTAAATGTTTGTGTCTCCAACATGATTCATCTGAGGGCTGTTGTCTGTTTGCTTTTCAGCATATGCTCTCCAAAGTGGGAATGTGGGATTTTGACATTTTCCTGTTTGATCGCTTGACAAATGGTAAGTCGCCTAAGTTCATTTGCTCCCTAAACTACGCACAATAAAGTGGGATTAATTTCATGAAAAACAGATTTTCTTTTTAAATATTATCTTATTCTCTCTCCCTTCTTCTTCTTGCAATAACCTAACGTCAACCCAAGAAGGGCTGAGGAAAGGGAAAATTAATTCAGTGAAAGCAAAAGAATGAACTTGGCCATACTAAGAAGTGTCGCGGACACTGAGTCAGCAGCAATGGCGATCCCAAGATGGATCTTGAGACAGTGCTGACACTTTGAGCAGATGGCAACGAATGCCACACATGGAGCAATCTATGTATGAACTGCTGAATAGAAAACTGATTTGACCAGTTTGCTTTCACTATTATAAATTTTTTTTATTATCTTAAGGTAATTAATTTCCTTCTGGTCTCAATGATCCCGAAGGAATTTGAAACCCACAAATTAGATTCTTTCTTTGCAAAATACCTTGGCCATTTCAATAAAAGAGGAAGTTTTTTGTGAGTTGATGAAAATTAGGATCACCGAAGCAGATGTGATAGGTCTTGAATCTTGCAGAGCAAAGTGTTGGTGCCCTGTCATTAAATGAGCTGAATCAGTCAATTGCAGATATTGTTTGGATTCATTTGGCATCAGAAGAAGAAAATGAGCAAGGAGGAGGGAGGGTCAACACTTAGACTACAGTGGAAGGGAAAGGCAAATATACACACTAGTTATAGTTTTTGAACTTTTGAGTCATAAAGGCTTTCCTTAAAGAAATAATAAAATCATATTATATTTTTATCTGCCCATCAGACAAATGCTGGTAAGTTTAAGAAGCCAATGAAAGATAGGATGCATAATGCTGATCTTTTTTAAATTTTTCCTTTTTTTAAAATTGGTTTTCATATATTTCATTTACATTGTGTTTCATCCATATACATTGTGTTCCATACAATCCCTCACTTACATTGTGTTTTATACAGTCTGTGTGTTTATATATTGTATTATCTACACTGTATCCCATATAATTAATTACCAGTAGTGGGTGGACTGGAGAGAGGGGGAGAGAAAAGGGAAGGTCAGTTGGGACTTGAAAAGATGGTGTAATAGTAATGCTGATCTTTTTATGGTCTACTATCCACCAGACTTATGCTTTTAAGCCATTATAGATGGCATCCTACCATTCTATTGATTTCCAAGTAATATGCCTTTGAGAGATCTAAGCCTAAAACCAAGAAACAGAGTTTTACACTGAGAGAAGCCAACTAGACCAATAGGGATGAACTTAATAATAATGCTTCTAACTTTGCTCAGACCAATTTGTATATGAAATTATCTGTTAACCAAAAGGACTTGTGAAATGATATTTGCTAAAAGAGGGCATTGTCACAACCCTCATACAATTATAAGATGAACACAGGTCAAAGATTCTCTCCTTAACTATTCAGAGCTCCAACCAATTGTTTTTGGTTCAATTCCAATAATTGCAAATAAATAAGCAGTAAGAAATGCTGAGATTAATTTCTAAGTGACTGAAGAATACTGAGGAGATAAGAATCAATTGCCTATTAACACATGACTGAATTTGTTTGAGTGTATTCAAATATCATTTGCAACACTCTCAGTTGTCTACAATTTTTATTTTTATTTTATTATTTTTATTT